ACCCTCTGGAAAACTCATAGCCATCAAATGTCTTTCCTGGCACATTTCATATGAAATGGTGAATTTCACTTGCTACAGAAATCCAACTCATACAAATTACACATGAATAAACAAATATTTGAACATGGTCAAACACTAATGAAAATGCCATCAAATTCATGAAGGTAGATCCAACCAGTATGAAGAGCCTTAGCTTGTTGCACTTCTTGAGTTAAGACAAGAAGTGATTTATTTTTCTGAGAATAATCCACAATTTGACTCACTAAAAATGCAAGTAGATGGAAGAATAAAATAATGTAAACTTAGCAAAAAAAGTGGCATAAGGGGAAGGAAATATTTTCATTCTTCCTTCAATACCAAAACCAAAAGTCAAACCCTGAGCTCAGAAAAAGCACACTATAATTTTAATTAACATCAATATTTATTGATATGACTTGTACACACAGAAATCTTTAAATAAAAATGACATGAATTCATGCAATGGTGAAAGGATCTAATACCTCCAAGGTTGCTGGGAACTAAAACCCTTGATATTTAGAGATACTTTACCCATATTTTTAAATATAAAAAATGTTTAATCTACAGATCTAACATTACTATTCACCTCTTAAAATGGTATTACACAATTTTTATACTGAAACTGATATTCTCATCCTAAACACCACTTATCTATGTGTCTGTAAGAGTTTAATAATTTATTTCTTTCACCATGCTCTCCCTTTCTTCATTCCTAAACATTATTACCAGGTGATTCTTCAAAAAGCTCTCAGGTGAAATCACATTCTTTTTTAGTAACTTTCAACGTATTGTCATTGCTACCAGATTATATGCTTACATCATACAGATTACCCTGATCTATATAAGCCTCTTGTTCAGGAGTATGTTCAGATGATATTATAAATACATGTATTGTACACACACACACACATACACACACACACATGTCCATATATGTATATATAGGAATATATAAACAAGGATGTTAATATATATATAATATATATATATAAAATTTTCCTTTGCTCATGTAGCATTATTTGTATTCTTTGATTCAATTTGACTCTTTGAAGAAATCTTTGATTCAATGTTTCAATTTCTTCAGTAAATAAGATTTTCTTATTTACTGAAACCTTTTTTATGGATACAACGAGAAATGCATAGTAGATGTAATTTCATCATATCTAGTAAATGCTTTTGCTTCCACTACTTGTTTTTTTAACATCAAGGCCCCCCTTCTCCATCTGCCCCATTCTCATTTATAGTGGTAATGATCTGCTTTCTTTGAGGCTCATGTCCAATATAGGTTTCATGATATATTTTCAGATTTCCACAAAGAAAATAAAGATGATCAGTAATTCATAACATCTAGCATTCTATGTGGAAGGAGAATATTTTCCTCCAACTAATCTTCACCTTATTGGGGTTACAAAAGAACTTATATATTATAACTGAGAGATGTTACTGGTTTATACACATCAGACCTTAAATAAATATTTGTGAACAATGTTGCACCAAAATGAACTTGGGCTACCAGTGCATCATTTACAGGAATTATCCACATTTCTTTTTCAGTTTGGCATTAAACCAGACAAACTTCTGGACCTGACTGCCTGGTATCATCTCTTCTTCAATTTCTTCATTGACAAAAGCATTATACAGCCTGCACGATTCTGTACCAGCTCCTCTGTGTATATAACATGGCTTGCAGTTTAGTGTTTTTATGGGATTCTTGAGTGTGAAAAAAAGGGAGTCTTTGATTCTTGTACTTTCTTTTAGGCTCTTTTCCACCTGTTTGTCTTCTCTAACTCCAATGTGATATTTTTTAAAATCTTATTGTATTTTATTTTTTCTTTTTGTTTATTCTCTCATAAAATACATCCTAACAAACAGCTTCCTTTCTGTTCACTCCTTTCCAGCCACCCCAATCTCTACTCCAGATCCATTATTCCTCCATTTTCTTCAGAAAAGATATATCCTCCCAGGGATAACAACCAAACATGGCATAGCAACATGCAATAAGACTAGTAGCAAACCTTTATATCAGGGCTTGACAAGGCTACCCAGGAGGAGGAAAAAGGTCCCAAGTACAGTAAAAATAGTCAGAGACATCCCATTTCCATTATTTGGAGCCCACAAAACTCCCAAGCTAAATAACCATAACATAAGTGCAGAGGAACTAGTGCAGGCCCACATGGCTGGCATGGTTGCCACTTTAGTCTGTGTGAGCCCTGCTTAGTTGATTTAGTTGGCTGTGTTCTCCTGCATTCCTTGACTCAACTAGATCATACAAATTTTAGTCTTGGGATTTAATGTTGTTGTTTTTTTACAGTTTGTTTTATAAATTCTCTCTGTATTGTCTGTCTTATTTATATCTCTCTCTGTTTTGTTTGTGCATTTCCTTCTCCCTTCCTCCCTTCCTTCCACCCTCCCTTCCTTCCACCCTCCCTCCCTCCCGCCCTCCCCCCTCTTTCTTTTTGTGTGATATTTATTGTAAAGGTTCCCACAGATGCTGTGTGTTCATAATTGATGGGATTTTCTTTTCCAGCACTTACATAACTATGTTCCAATACAATGGATAGTATTTGAATCCATGCATTTGGGACCAGCTCTCCCACTACCATGGTGAAGGGTACCATCTCTCCCAAGTGCAGGGACTAGTTCTCCCATGAGGGGCAGGACCAATTCTGCTGCAATGCCTAGTGAGGGGCAGGATCAGTCATCCTAAATCCAGTGAAGTGTAGGCCTGTCTCAGCAAGGCCCTCTGTTTTTAACATACATGGTTCCTATGGTCACCTGTGATAACACAGGCCAGAGACACCAACAGAGAACCCAGTTACAGCACAACCGTAGACCCAGACATGGCACTTGGAATCAGCTTGGATTCAAATGTCACCATTATACTGACAGTAACTCAGGTCACCCAGATTGCTATGGCCCTGGTGGCAGTTTGTCCCTCAGACTGCAACATGGTCTCGGGTTATCAAGCAGACCCCAGACATCTACTATCCATTGTATTGGAGCATACTGGACTGACCAGTTCAGCTATCACCCAGGCCCACATCCTAGGCTTGGATTGGCCCACCCTAACATCTACCACATATATAGCCTTCTAGAGCAGGTGAACATGAAGGATCAGGTAGCTTTGGAATGGTAGACACAGGATCCCCATGACTTAGTGCAACAGCAAAATATCTGAGAGGAGTTTCAGTGAGGATGGTGTGCTAGAGATAAGAGTCCTTGAGTCAGATCAATAACTTATTGCAATGAACATTTACATGTGTGGTTGATAGGACAAAAGGATATACGTGTGACACACATCATCTCCAAGGCAAGCAGGATGAATGAAGAAGGGTTAGAGAGGCAGGAAAGACACTGGAGGGAAGTGGGGTTTACTTTGTTTTGTTTTGTTTTGTTTCTAGTTAATTTCTGGAAGTTCCTTTGGGAAGATGCTGCAGGGGAAAGGAGCAGGTATGGAGGGACTAGAAGGTAAGTGGGATTGGGGTGCATGATGTGAAATTCCCAAAGAATCAATAAACAATTGTGTTATATATAAACATAGAGATATATATACTGTCACTGTTACCTGTGAAATCCAGGCCTTTATTATCTCAGAGGAAATAAATATCCTTAGTAGAGCAAATAAGCATAATTTGTATGGATTTTATTTGAAAATCAAATTATCATAATCTAAACTTCACAATTAAATATTTGTTAAATAATGCATATACATTTTACTGTTTTCTTTTAAACACCATCTTCAAATGTCATCTGTAAAGAGTATATAGTTTATATTTCCAAATATTTCATCAAACTTTTGTAACAAGCATAAGAATGGAACCATGTTAATGGACCAGATTATTTGGTAAACTTCAAGAAGTTACAAGTACTGGATTATTTGGAGGATGACTACAAGCAGAGAAATGTATAGACCAGGAATGTGTAAGGCCAGGCTGTAAAGGGCTCTTGATTATTGGGAGGAGCCAAAGCTTTCCCAGCCTCTCAAGGACATAATGGTCACAATTTTGTTAATTTTTTTGCAATCTTCAAATGACCTTTACACAATAAGACATCGTTTCATCATAGCATTGCTTCAAATTTTGTAAATTAAATTTAAAATCCCTCACTGTAAATGACACATTTCAACAACTTTTTAATATAATTCATATAATAATTCATAATTATAATGCAAGCCTCTTTATAATTTCACACTTTTCCTTTTAATTCTAGAGAGGTTATGATAAATCCCTTCCAGTTGTGCCACTTGTCATTACTGACCCACACAGCTATTTTTTTTTTTTTTGAGTAACCTGATGTCTTTAATGTAGCTCATCAGATTCGCCAAGAAAAAGAAGAAAAACTTGAAAGACTCTCAGAAGGTGCTGGAGCCTGTGGAAGGTGCTGGCTTCTTACTCAGGAATGCCTTAAATAAAACATAGTCTAAAGTGAGTTCTGCTCTCACTCTCTAGTGTCTGTCAGGTTTATTCCACCTTTCCATTTATGTCTCTTCCTGAGTGATATGTGAGTCTAATTCATACACAATCATAATTTAATATTTGCCTAATCAAGTGGAATAAAATATGTTTTATCAATAAGTTAATTAATGAAATCACCTGTACTCAGCAACAGAGGTTTATTGCTACTATGTAGTGAATGAGATATTCTTTAGATTTATGAAAACTATATCAATAAAAGATACAGTATTTAACACTTGACTGCAGACCAGAGAGTCTACATCATTTTGCATTTAATATATTCATACAAATCTAAAGTATCCTCAGTTACTTTCCAATTTAATCATCATAGCATGCACTTGATACAGAATTAAATTTTGTTATATATTTTTTTCAGAGTATGTGAAAATAAAAGTATTAGGTATTTACTAATGATGAGTCAGAAGAATGAGGACATTTTCAAATAGTTTTCAACATATATCATAAAATATCCAAATTAAACCTCTCTAAATTTGTACATTTTGTTAAAAAGAAAATATTTTATGAGGTCTAAACATTTCTCTTTAATTTTTTTCTAACAGAATCTATGACTTGCTTATTTCTTAGACTGTAGATAATTGGGTTTAGCACAGGAATTATGACTGTGTAAAATAGGGAGTCAATCATATTCTCGTCATCTGCTTGTCTAGAGGCAGGACGCACATACATGAAGAGAAGGGGGCCGTAATACAAAGACACAGACAGGAGGTGGGCTCCACAGGTTGAGAAGGCTTTCTTTATGCCCTTGAAAGACTTATTCTGTAAGATTGTAAAGAGAATACACGTATAAGAGACTAGAACAGTCACCATGGTGGATACCTGAACGGTACCAGCTAAAGCAAACACCAACATAAAGCTAATGGAAGGATCAGAACAGGAAATCTTTAAAAAAGGCATAACATCACAATAAAAATGATGTATTACATTAGAATTACAGAAAGTTAATCTGAGTAAAAATACTTCATGAATGAAGGCATGAAGAAAACCACCTACAAATGACAAAATTACTAGCTGGAAACATAGTCTATTGGTCATAATCACTGGATAAAGTAAAGGTTTGCATATAGCTACATAGCGGTCATAAGCCATTGAAGTCAAGAGGAAGCACTCTACACTTGCACTGAAGGCAAAGGAAAAAAACTGTAACAGGCATTCAGAGAGAGAAATCTTTGTGATCTTGAATGACAACGTGATCAGTAATTTAGGTGTCACTGTAGATGATAACCAGCTATCCACAAAGGCTAAGTTGCTGAGGAAAAGGTACATGGGGATGTGAAGGTGAGGATCACACCAGATGAGAGTGATCAGGCTGAAGTTCCCCACAATGGTGATAAGGTAGATCACCAAAAATGTCAGGAAAAGGGGGACTTTCCACTGTGGTTGATGTGTGAGTCCTTCTAGGATGAATTCTGTCAGCAGTGTTATATTCTCCTCTTTCATGTTCTTCAGGGATGTCTCCTGAAACAGACATTATTTATAGAGTGAAACTGATGGAAGATTTGAAATAAAGCTATGTATGTATGTGGATAGCCTCTCTATTTAGAATATGAAAATTTATGGAAATTAGAGAGAATTGAATGAATGCCCTGTCTCCATGTGTCAGACAAAATATTTTTAAGTATACTCAACAGTTTCCATAAATCCAACATATACTAGAAGTGATTTTCCTCCTTTAGTGTATTTCTAAACATTCACTGAGCTGAGCTAATTTCATTTTTTCTCCAATAGTTTTCTCTCAGAAAATTGACGAGTAAATTTGTAGAGCCAAGAGAACATGTTTCATAAATTAAATCAGTAATTGCAGTGATTAAGTATGTTTAGTTTGGTCTGGCCTTTGTTTTATGCAATAACAAATCACAACATAATTAAAAATTCTCAATTTTATTTTTGGTCATAATTAGAAGAAACAGCAACAGAGACTTCTTTTTGTGTGTTTTCTGATACACAGGCACACACGTGCATTTGTGTGACATAATTATTATCAGAAGTAGATGAAAATTTAAGAGATAACTTTGTCTTTGCATGTTAAAAGTTTTTATTTGACTATACATTTAATTGAAAGAAAATGAATCTTTTAGTCACAATAAAACAAGAGGTATATTCTAGAAGAAAATTTGAGTATATTTTAAACTGAGTTTTAAATCAGTATTCTTGTTATCCATATACTATCTCATGAGGTCTTTACAAATAGTCTCATAAATCATTAAAAACCACTTAAGGAAAGTGAATCTTCTAACAACCTATCTTTGCTTTTCTGGAGGCACACAGATAATTCTCAAGGAGTTTTCTCCTCCCACTCTCTATTTGGATATCTTTTCAGCACATTTTTAAACTATGAATTAGGCAAAACTTTTTATTGTGTTCATTGACAATAGGAATAATATATATTTTATAATATATAACATATATTATATATAAAATAATATGATTTTTCTTACTCATCTATCTTGAAAGAACTCAAAGAGAAGACGAAAGGTCTTGCATGAAGTAGAAAAATCCAGATTTAGCAAGGCAGTGAGGAAAGTATAGGCAGCAGTGCTCTCATGCCGATACATCTTGGAGGCTGCATGTCTCAGACTGAGAAAATATTGGGTATATAAGATGTCTTCAAAGCAAAAGCTGGTCAATTGGACAAGCACATGCCCTTCTCAAAGGACAAAGGCATAGAAAAGTATATTATCCAAGGGAACAGGAAGTCCCTTTAGTATAGTGACAGCTCTCCTGGGCATTGCAGAGCTGAACCATTCACCAAGATGCTCCAACAGTTCCACTGGGTTTTACAGCTTCTGGATCACAGATATAAGGTCACTGTAGGTAGCTTTTTATCAAAAAATAGATTTTTACTAAACCACTTTATTTTCTAATTCAAGTGATACTTGTGATATGTTTAGGCAAGCTGTGGCTTATATAGAAAATATGTTCTTTGTACTTTAAGTTCAATAGCTATGTCTGAGCTAATCAAAACATAGTTTTAGTAAGGTCAAATAGATAGACTCTTTTCAGGAGCCAATTACAACTGTAAATGTTGTGGAAAATGCAGCTTAGGTTATAGACCTGACTGTGTTCCTAACATAAATGCCTCTGAGCTTCTGTAATAGCCTGATAAAATGATGAATTTCTTTCAGTCACTGGAGTTGGAGTTCAGGAATCTTTTCTGTGGAATGGTGATCCTGTGCACACTTGTCAAACACAGTCATAATTAGATAGCTTTGAACACTGCTAAAACTAAAAGATGCAAATGTGAAGTGTAATTTAACGCTGCTTCTATTTGTGTGTGTATGTTTCTCTCTCTCTCTCTCTCTCTCTCTCTCTCTCTCTCTCTCTCTCTTTGTGTGTGTGTAAAATATAAATATAGATAAAATAAATGTAGCAAAGTTGGTCACTATTAAGGTTTTGGAGCCCGTTTATCATCATGTCAGTAGTATTTGTTTTATTAAGTGTACATTTTTCTGCTTGACTTCTATTTTAAGTTCTTGGGTATAGTTTGCTTTCATTTTACTCCTGTTCTGAATATGTGTCTTTATGTGATATGAATTTTTGACTGAGAACAATTTGTTGGGCCTATTTATTATTCCATCAGCAAGTGCATATCTTTGAAATGCCGGCCATGACCATTTTCTTTATTTAGAAGGAAGTTACTAATTCCATTCATATTGTTTTCCTTCTGGTTGCTTTAGCATTTTTCATTTTTATTTTCTTCCCTAGTCTTTCTTCTCACTCATCTCAGGGGTGTGCTAGTATGCTGATTAATCATGGCTGGGTCTTTCTGAATTTTCTTTCTCTCGTCTCCTAGTAAGAGTGTTGTTTCTTGTGATCTTGTTATCAAATCTGCGATGTTTTCTAATCCTTGTATATAGAGCTGCTTTAATTATCTTTTGTAATGCTGGTTTCATGGTCATGAATCTCTTTATCTTTGTAGTATACAGATTTTACTTCCCCAATTCTTAGAACAAACATTTAGATATGTTTATCTAGATTGGCAGTACTTTATTTCTGTTATTTTCTTGACTGACATATACTTTTCCACAATTTGATGTATGTATTTAATGAATTCTGATCATTCCCACACCCACATCCTCCTTTACTCCCATCCCTACTAGTCCCTGTCATTTTGGTTTTGGTTTTTGACTCATTTATTTTGCCAAGACTATCTTTGTGACCATGGTATTAGAACTATTCGCTGGAGCCTCGTAGGCTCATGAGTGGCTGTACAGTTGAAGGAAATGATTGTTCCCTCGTCTTTAATCTGTTTGTCACAACTTGAAATACATTGTGCCACACAATGTATTTCATACAGAAAAAATATGTTGGCATTCTTGTGGATTTGCCTAAAAATAGAGTTCATACTTCTTTCAACTGGTCTGTGGATGCAATGCAGTAGTACTTTATGAAGGCACAACACTGGGGTAGTTGACCCCCAGTGATACACCTCCTCTAACAAGTTCATACTTCCTAGGCTTTTTCAAATGATTATGACAACTGGAGAAGTGAATATTTAAATTATGAGTTTATGGGGGCCATTCTCATTCAAACCATCACACCTTCTGTCAAATGTGCTGTGCTTGGCCTGATGGCTGACTCAACTCAGGCGAAAGGAAACCAGCAATGGAATTGACTATAATATTGTCAAAAATCCAGATGTCAAAATATGTCATTAATCATAATACTGATAACAAAAGAACAAGGTATCGGAAAAGAAGAAAAAAGGTAATTGTTAAAACTAAGTTCCTTAACTTTTGAAAGTCTTCTATCTTGGCATATGCAATGGCAAGTAATAATTACGTGCAATTTGGGTTGAGGGGATGGCTCAGAAATTAACCTCTTGCTTCACAAAGAAGAAGACCAGAGTTTGGATCTCCAGAAAACCACAAAAATCTTGAGAGGTTGTGATAGTCCACCCATGATCTCAGTCTTCAAAATCAGAGGCAACAGATTCCAGAGTAAGATGACTAGAAAAATTAACCATGGCAAACAAGTCTGGATTTTATTGACTCTGCTTCAGTGAGTACAATGTAAGACCAATCTAGGATGACTCTGACATTATCCTTGGGCATGCACATTCACACACATTTGTGTGCACACACACAGATAGACATACATATGCACATATATACACATATATGTACAGAATTGCAAAGTATGGTGTTGGGGGGGCACAGAGGTTTTTTTTTCACTCACAGGAAAGTGCTAGAGAAACCAGCAATATTAAACATGCAGATTATCTCTTCTGTAGGCAGACTTTTCTTTCCAACCCACCAGTTTTCCTAATAACTGATATGGAGATGTAATATTAATTGTAAATGCTTGGTTTATAGCTCAGTCTTGTAACTAGCTAGCTCTTACATTTAAAATTAATCAATATGTCTTACCTATTCTCTGCCACGTGGTTCATGGTTTGTTACCTCATTTTCTCCATATCCTGCTTTCTCTGAGTCTGCTGGCCTCCCCTCTGACTCCACCCTTCTTCATCCCAACATCCTTAACTTGGTTGTCCCACCTATACTTCCTGGCTGGCTATTGGCCAGTCAGCTTTTTATCAAACTAATTTGAGTGATAAATCTTTATAGTATACAAAAGAATTATTCCACAACACTCTTCAAATGAAAACTTGATTAACCTGTTTTCTGCCCAAAGTGATGGGAATGGAGGTGATTAATAACCTAGGTGACCTCTGACTGTATGTGTGGCCATGGGTTTTCCAGACTCTTGCTGACAGAAACAATGATGATTAATAGCCTAAGTGACCTCTACACTGTCTGACATAAAACACATGAGATCTTCCCCAGACCCCTAGGACAGCACATGTAGTCTATTTATAGATCTCATCTTTGTGGAAGAAATGACATATACCTTGAAAAGAGTTACAATGTAACTATGCCTTGTTGTGTACACAGGATTGTGTTATACCACAAAACTTTTAAAAATTTGTACTGTACTTTAATGTACCTCAAATAAACTGCTTACTATCATATTCTAGAAGTGTGAACCAATACTGACTACTGAGCCATATTAAACTGGACTTCCTTTTGCCTCATACAGATTGTTACCTTGCAGTATGGAAAAAAGAAAAATACTGTTTCTCAAAACAAGGTAGATAGAAAGGACTGACACATAAACTCTGACTTCTACAAATATGAGTGGATTCAAATGTATCCATAGACACACAAATGGACATGTACATATATCACCTACCCAAATATGATATATACATATACATGAAGAAAATAAATGAAATACTATCTTAGGCAGTATATAATGAGCAGACACTAGAAAAATTGTGGGAAATATGCTTGAAAAATCTACACTGGCATGAATGTGCCACTGGGAGGTGTGAATACTATAGAAAAATCTTCAGTATGTTTAGAGAATACTCAAGGGGCTGTGAACAAAATGTTAGTAAGAATTTAGGTGATAATGTCTGTTGTGTTGATTTTTTAGACAGAAATGGAGACCATATTGTT